CGTTGCGCAAATAATCGATTATTCATACAAATAATCGATTATTTGTATCAGTAAAAACCTTTAAAAACCCTGTCTGCACTAAATAATCGATTATTTTTGGAATAATCGATTATTTCAGAGGGTTGTTTTTCTCAACTTTGCCCAGATAATCGATTATTTCCAAGATAATCGATTATTCTAGAGGCTTTTCATATTCTTCTTCCCAGATAATCGATTATTGCCCCAAATAATCGATTATTACAGAGGCTCTTGGAGAATTAAAAGTACAAGGTTACATAGATGCATACTTTGGAGGTGAAGTCAATCACATAAGAAGTACCACTAGTTACATTTTCATTGTTGGTACTACAATTGTTAGTTGGATGTCACAAATACAAAAGATTATTGATTTATCCACTAGAGATTGAGTATATAGTAGTAATATATACTAGTAAAGAATTGGCTTTAGGGATTATTAATAGAGTTGTGATTCATCTAGGAGAAGAGTGTTTTGCATAATGATAACTAAAGTGTGTTAAATCTAGCAAATAATTCAACATTTCATTCTAGAACAAAGCACATTGGTCTTCGTTATCACTTCATCACATCTTTGCTTAAGGATGAGGTGCTAACATTGAGAAAGATTATAGGAAGTAAGAACCCAACAAATTATTTGACAAAGGTAATAACCATCGACAAACTAAAGTTGTGTTCAACTTTAGTTGGCCTATTAGAATAACAGACTAGATAAGGCTGCTGCATTGATTGAGATGTGAAGACAAATTGAAATCAATCTTCAAGTGAAAGATTGTTGGACTTGATCATACAAAAGAAAAACTTATGGAAGTGCATATTCTTTTGTTGGGGAAAAATAGGAAAACCAATAAAATTAAAAGAATGCATGAAAATAGGAAAACACAATGAAACGAATAAAAATTTTCCATGCACGTATAAATAACATCATGTTATAACAATGAAAAGTAATTCCAATTATGAGAAAGAAAAAAGAAAAAAGAAGATTTTAATAAATAATATTTTTATTTCCCGAGTGTATTTAAGTTGTGAATTTGAGTGTTTCTAAACGTTATATTTTTTCCTTTTTCAATAATACATCTACAATAGCTTGGAGATGTAAGCACAATTAGTTGAATTATGTTATCAATTTTGTGTTATTATTTTATATTTATTTTGTTTCTCATAAATTTGATTATAAGAAATTTTGTATATTTTATCATTGTAAAGTACTCTTAAAATGTAGAAAGCTAAGTTATGCCTCAAAACTCAAGTAAGAAACATTGAGAAATTGAATTCTCTTGGATGGTCAAGATTGAAAAATATAAAACAACTTCCCCTTTAACATGCAATATTGACACTATATTTTTGGTGTACGAAGTATAATCATCATTTCATTATGTGAGTTTTGAATTAGCATAAATGTCTATTTTTAGGAATCTCTTCTAATAGCTTCAAATATGCCTTATCTCATGGTTTTGTTTCATATTAAGGATGATGTGAGTTTGAATCTCCAAGCTAACATAACTCACTAATTTATTAATATTTATTGATAAAAAGTAAAATAAAATTAAATAGAAAATAATATTAATATATATCTTTTAATATACCTTAATGACATCCTCAATATCATATACACTTGAGATTATGGTATGCAATAAAATATCAAAGCAAATGCAAAATACAGTGATTGAGCTTGAATCATCCATTATTATACCTTAATTGACATGTTGATGTTCCTTAATACTACAGTGTCAATCCATGTATTCAAAAATATTATTTGGATGTCAAAATGGATTGAGATCCTATAGGCACTCACAAAAATAATCGTATGCAAGATGGATAAATATCTTTTTATATGGAGATGGATACAAGACGAGTATAGATTCACAAAAGTTAGTGGGTATGAATGCGAGTTGAGTGCTATGGTACCTAACCCTCCCCATCCTATCCCGCCCCACAATTATATATATATATATATATTAACATAATTACTTAATAATAATTTATTTATATATAAAATATATATTAATTTATATAATAATATTGTTATTATTTTAGATCCAAGATACAAGTTAAAGTTGTTAGAGTACTTTTTTCCTAAGCTTTATGGTAGCTCATTTTCAATTGAAATTAATGATATCAAGAAATTATGCTACTCATTTGTTTGAGGGTATCAATTAAAGCTAAGAAAATAGTAAAAATTTCAATTTTACAAGCAAATGTCAATGAATCAAACTTGGATAATCTAAATATTAACAATTTTCTTAGTGATTATGATTTATTTGTGAATGATACAATTGAAATACAAACAAATTATGAAATAAAGTTCTACTTAGAAGAAAAAGTTTTGTCTAAGAGTACTATTTTTGACATTCTTAGATGGTGGAAATCAAATGAAATCAAGTATCCAATTTTGTAAAAAATTGTTAAGGATGTTTTGACAACCCCAATTTTAATCGTAGCTTCAAAATTTGCATTTAGGACATGAGGTAGATTTTTGAGTCCTCATTGTTCTAGGCTCCAAATTTACTTTGGAGGTACTTATATGTGTGCACAAAGTTGGTTGAAACACAAATAACAAGGTAATAAATAAATAAACTTTATTTATTTAAAAAATTTGTTTTATTTTTTATTGTTTGTTTTAATTATTAATTTGAATTGTCTATTCATTTATTTTATTTTCATGTAGTTTATATTAGTATTACTGGATAAAAACAATATATAGGCATGGAAGACAATTTTTTGCAAACATATGAAGAAGTTGATTCTGATGATGAGGTTAAATGTCTACATATTTGTTTTTTGAAATTTATAGTATATAATTTGACCTAACCAATTTATGTATACTTTTTTTTCATAGATCATGATGTTAGAAGTTTAATTACAACTTTTATTATATTGATTTTTTAAAATTTATTTACAAGAATTAAATGGTTTGTAATATTTATTTATAAGAATTGTTATGTTAAATTTTTATAATATTAAAAACTTGATAAATTAATATTATGTTTGTGTAAAATGTTACCTCTTTATTAATTTATTTACTTTATATATAAGTAAAATGCGAGTCGTGAGTGCAAGTATGATTACATAAGTACCCAACGACTATAAATATAATGATTAAAATTATTATCCACATAAATTTGAATTAGATACATACATTATTTCTTACTCTTTGAGGTGCCTCCAACGTAGCGAGGAGATTAATCATTGCTATCGACTGTAGATACTTTAGGAACGAAAAAAAAAATACATACATTATTTCTAAATATGAATATGAAGACAGATACTATAAAATTTACCTATTATTATTTCTGACTATGCTTGTAATATTGAGTATTATGATATTTTTAGTGATTTCGATGATAAAAATGATATTGTAGTATTTGTTGCGAGTGACTTAGGAAACCTTTATTGGCACTAAGAAAAATATTAGTAGGAAATTCTTATATTATTCATTACATTAACTGGATTAGCTTATGCATGTGTGTAAAGAATAAAAAAATAGTATAATTTTTTTTTTATGATGGATTAATGAAGTAGGTTACATTGGTTATATGACAAACATGAGAGTATTTTTAATTGATTTTTTTTTCAATAAAATCATTTTTAGAAATTTTTTTCCTGTCTCTCATTTCTTTTTGATTTTTTTTAGTTTTATATTTAATTTTAATATTTTTAAGAATTATCAATAATTAAAAAATTTATATTACAATATAAATTGTTATTGTAAATCTAAAATATGATTTAAATTTTAAATTATTTATTAATTGTGAATTTTAATTATGATATAATTAATATACTTAAAAGTATTTTTTGTTATAAATTATAATCATATAAAAAATATCTATTTATTGTACTCAATAAAAAATATTTTTATTGTACCATTTAAAATACTAGTTTTACATTAAAAGCTAAAATGTTACTTTTCGAAAATATCGCATTAGACCATCCTCTGGCCTTACCGAATTTCGAAAGGACAAAGCCTCTTTTGTTAATTCTTTTCTCTTTCACTGTTCCGAGTCACTTGTTATATTTGATTTTTAAGAATTTGTTTTCTTGTTTCGTTACGTTTTATTTTTTGTCTTTCCACGATAAATATCATATAAAACCCAACTGTGACAACAAGGTTTTTTTTGTAAGAGTGAAGTCAATAGGAGGAGTTTTTATTTTACCATTTTTTTTAAATAATACCTTTTCTAATCTCGATTTCTAGAATATATTTATTCTTATATTCGATAGAAGATTATAAAAATACATTCTTAGATGTATTTTATTTTTAAAATATAAAACTTTTATATTTAACATACTTTTCATTTTTATTTCAAAAATCTTATATTCTATTTTTAATTAAATAAATTATTTTAAATTAATAAATATATCAATCGTATTTACAAAAATAACATTATTCATATTTTTAGAAGTGAGATTTTTGAGAATTCTATCATATCTTAAAACAAATATTCTTTTAGTAAGAAGTGAGAAAAGTTCATATCTAAATAGGTAAGAATTCTGAGTGAGAATTAACTATAAATAAAATGTATAATATTTTTAATGAAGCCTCTTAATTTAGTGATTATAAAATCTATTTCGTTTTAAAATATAAAATATAAAATTAATCTTATGTTTTCAAGTTCCATTTCTGTCTCCTTAGTTGTTTAAGGAAAGTATCCTTAGTTGTTTATGAAAAGTATGCAATGTTTTATATTAATGATATAGTTAAAATAAAATTTATTTTTTAAATATCTACTTCATTTCTTTTTGATATTTATTTAATTTTTATATTTTCACACATTTTATTTTTTAATCCTTATAATTAAAATATTTTATTTGAATTTTTAAATAAAACTATTTTTTATTCTTGTTCTAATAAAAAAATGAAATTATAAAATAACATCAATAACACGCACTAAATAAAATGTTTTACCCAGAAGAATTAAAAATATAAAGTTTATAAAATTACATAAGCAAATGAATATTTAATTTAAACTTTTTGTTTTCTTCTTTCTTTCACCACTGTGTGTATCTGTAGGGTTTTCGATTACGCCTTCATAAATTATATGTTTCAAAAATAAAATTACAGTTTCGATTCTCAGTTGTTGCCGGCTTCAGCAACCTGTGCCAAGTTCGTGCAGGGTACACTTGCCCCTTTCCATAACCTCGTATTTCTCTCTTCTCCCCTTTGTTTCTGTGACATTCACATCATGTTCTTTTCTCTCTCTCTCTCTCTCTCTCTTCCAATTTGTGTGAAATGCTATTCAATTTCAGAAATTTTGATTTTTTAAAATTTATCTAAATGCAGGTATTAATGGGTGTGATTGATTTTTGCAACTCTTCTGCTTTGTACTGGGTCAAGTCCAACACCAATCTGAAACAACAAGTGGGGTTGGCACCCAGACCCATTTGTTCATTTGAGGGGAATCAGAGGAAGTTTGTAGCCATGGCTTCCACCATTCCTGTGGAGCAAGTCAACAATGGTCCTGTGAAAGTGACAGGTGACTCCTTCATCAGAGAGCATCTGAGGAAGTTGGCTCCTTATCAGCCCATTTTGCCTTTTGAGGTTTGTGTCATCAAAAGTCAGCTCCTTTTGATGTTGTTGCCTCTTTGTGATTACTCCAACAATGTTTGCTTTTCTTGAAGTATTCTGGGCAATATTTGAGTTTTCTTTTTAAGAATTTGGTCTTGTTATGTGTTCCTCATCTACTATTAGCTTAGCTCTTGTCTTGAAGCATAGATACATGTTTATTTCTTCATTTCTTGGATCTTGGTTTTTTCTACACTCTCTGTCCCACCATGATTGCAGTTTAAGGTTTCTAATTAACAAGTCAACAACAGTAAGTGTATCACTTTTTTATAGGATTTGACTAAAATAGCTCCAATTTCTCAATAAATTCAATACTTTACTTTTATTTGTGATGGTTGAATAATTTATGAAGGAAGAAATTAGAAAGAAAAAAGTAATTAATATTACATTGGAAAGTGAGGACATAAACTATTTTAGGACATTTTTCAAATGTTAGAGCATCTCCAATGCAGAGTGCTTGTGGTGTATTTTATTAATAAGTAAAGATGCTTATTAGCAACTCCCATTGGAGTGGTACAGGAAATTGCTTAAAAATAGGCAACAACCCTTAAATCTTAAATAAGCAACATTGCTTAGAACACAAGTTACTCCCACAAATAAAAAGAATATTATTTATTATGTTTAATTAAATTAATATTTATATAATAATTACATTAATTTTTTAAGTTGTCGAAAAGTAATGTTTAAATAAAAAAATTATAAAAGTGCGGGTTACTCATAAGATTCCACCATTGGAACAAAATTTGCAAAATTATAGTGTAAGTTGCTTAAGAATGATGTGGCATGATGGATCTCATTTAAAGTAAAATAAGATCCTTAATAAGTAACTTCTAAGAAGTACCGTTGGAGATGCTCTTAAAACTACAGTCAATTTGGGACAGAGTATTTTTTCTTTATAAAATAGTGTTTCTACTCTGTGATTGGTTGGTTTCTTGCATACACACTGCACACATATGACAATTTTTTTTACTGTGATACTGTCTCTCTGCCTATCATATGATTGTTTGGTATTCGATGCTAACTTTTATAACATTTGACATGCACCCCAGGCCGCAGCACTTGTCTGTGGTTAGATTAGTGGGGAAAATTGTTCTGCCACAATGCAAGTTAGTAACAAAAGAAGAGACTTTCTGCTGCAGGTTTTATCAGCTCGTCTTGGACGTAAGCCTGAGGATATTGTCAAGCTAGATGCTAATGAAAATCCTTATGGTCCCCCTCCAGAGGCAAGTTCTTATTTGATTTTTGATGTCTATATTTTCATTACTATTGAGTAAAAATGGAAAATAATTATCTGGTAATATGATGTTTAACAATGACAAGGAGATTGTAATGTTGTTGTTCAATTTTTAAGTTTGTAAATCTTTCCAAAGCTCTGTTCAATTGCATGTTGGGATCTTGCTGAATGTTACATCCTTTATTACTCTTGAGTTGATTATTAGAGGTTGGGCAGGTCATGGAAGCCCTAGGTTCAATACAATTTCCATATGTCTATCCTGATCCAGAAAGCCGCAGCTTGCGTGCAGCTCTTGCCCAAGATTCAGGCCTTGAAGCTGAATATATTCTTGCAGGATGTGGTGCAGATGAGCTTATTGATTTGATAATGCGGTTAGAACCAGTACCTTTTCTATTTTATATAAGCTTCAAATTCGTTTTCTCTTCATGCTAATTTTCATCATAGCTATGGCCATCACTCATTGTACATGCTTCTCATATATATACTACAGTTGTGTACTTGATCCTGGAGACAAGATTGTGGACTGCCCTCCGACCTTCACAATGTATGAATTTGATGCTGCAGTTAATGGAGCACTTGTTATCAAAGGTAAGTATAACATTACCTAAATATAGCTTTTAAATTTAACTTCTTAAAAAGATATAGAATTTTTATGCTTGTAAGATGAGAAACAGATATCTAAAAACTGATTAAACCTTAGATTGTGAAGGGTTTTCTCATGAAATTGATTATAGATCTTTAGCTTTTGAGATGTGTCAGATAATATTGTTCCTATGATGTCTTTTTATACTTGTCAAATGAAAAGCATAAGGCCCTAAACGGATTAAGCATTTTTACTATAGTGTTTTGACCCATATCTTGTGATGATAATAGATACATTGTTGTTTTGTTAGACTCGTCAACTAAAATGATCTTGGATTTCATTCTTTTACTTTTTTTTTTTTAATTATTGCTCGTCTTCTCTGTACTCTTTGATTTTCTTACTGTGTTTTGGAGTTTTCTTATTATGCCACATCAGATGTGCATAACCATCTGCATTATTTAAACTGTAGTTCCAAGGAGGCCGGACTTCAGCTTGAATGTAGAAGAAATTGTTGAAGTTGTTAAACAAGAGAAGCCCAAATGCATATTTTTAACATCTCCAAATAATCCAGATGGAAGGTAACTGTCAACTATCCTTTCTTTCTTTAGAGTGAATTGTTAGAAAATTAGTTGCCTGGATTTGTATGGTAATAGTGTTTTCTTTTTCTACTAATTTGTTCTTCCTCAAATCATCCTCTTTAAAACAGGAGTTCCTTGTGCACTTTTTTCTTTTTGATTTTAATTGTGTTTGTTCAGTCACAATACAGTTAAAGATTGGTTTGCTACTTTGCTAGCTGATATACACTAGAAATACAATCATTAATATTTTGGTGGATTATGATTCCAGATATATGAAACTAGTGCTGCTTTCCTAGTATTATAGTGCACAATATTATAGTGTCTTCTCAGAAATTGTTCCACAATGAAGGTAATCTTTTGATATTTCTTTTTCATTAACAATCCTAAGTCAGGATTTAGCAAGGCTGGAGATGGTTGTTATATTATTGATATGCTGATAGGTTGGGGCAAGTTCTTCGAGAAGCCAGCCAAGTGGCTGATAGGTTGGCTAAATATTGTTTAGGTATTTCTGATCTTGTTATCTTTGTTTGGGTTCCTCCCTTTTTGTCTTTGGAGGTTCTAGCTGATGTATCATCAGCTTGCTTCTCTCGTGGGTTTTATTTTAGTTCTTGTTGGGGCTTAGGCCCAGTTTGCCATCAAAAAATAATATTATTAATATGCTGAGAGTTTGAGTTTGCTTTCCGTTGGCTTTTGATCTATTATATATTGTTTGAACAATTTTACGACAGTATAATTGATGATGAAGTTCTCTTAAAGATACTTGAGCTTCCCATACTGGTGATATTGGATGAAGCATACATCGAGTTTTCAGCAATTGAATCAAGAATGACTTGGGTGAAGAAACATGAGAATTTGATTGTTCTTCGGACATTTAGCAAACGAGCTGGTATGCTTATACTTTTTTTTTTTCCTTGTTGCACAAGTAAACTTGAATATGAACCGAGAATTCATGTTGATCTCTTATGATAATATTTTTTGAGTTGTTCCAAGTTTTGATCAAACTCTAATAGATTTATGTTTTTTAGGCTTCTCGTTTGCATGCCAATACATGCATTTTAGAAGAGAATTTGAGATTATTGTATTCATCTTTATTTTATGGCATGCAGTATAATCTCTCCATTGTAAGGATGACAATAGGCCAAGTTAGGGTAGGTTTGGAATATATAGGTCAGGCCTGTTCTATAAAATTAAAGTCTAAGTCTTGCATATTATCTATCATAGACTTTTTTTAATAGGCCTGACTTTACTTTTTTAATGTCTGATATGACCTATTAGCCTATTTTGCAATTAGTCTATTTAAAAGTCTTATGCATTAACAATGTTAAATAAGTCAACAATTAAATTTTTAATTACACTTGCAAGTTTTTGTTTAATTTGCATGATAAGTCTTTTTTAATTTGATAAAAAAATAGTTTACTCTATTATTATTAAAATTTAGAATTTAAAATAAAAAATAAAAAACTAATTGAAAAACAATTCATGCATATCCATGTACACTAACATACATTCATGTATAGACTGTAATGAAGAAGATAATCTTATTAAAAAAAATCTAAATATTTCTTATATCACATCTAAATAATCTACTATGAAGATGAAGGGAAAAATGTAGACGAAGATGTAACTACTAGAGTTTTTATTTTCGATATATTAATTTTGTACAAATAAGGAACTTAAAACGTTTAAGTGTAGTAGAAGTGTAAAAAATATTGATAATTTGAATTTTTTGTATTACAAATTTATATATTTAATTATATTATTAATAATGGTGTATATATATATGTGTGTGTGTATATATATATGTACGATTTTTTATTATATCATATAGATAAATAAATTGACCTATCAGGTCTCACAAATTTTTTTATAAGTCTAAGTTCAACGTTTTTAAATAAATATACGTTTTCAAAAGTTAATTTGACCTTTTTATTAAATAGGTCAACTTTAAAATGGTCAGTCCATCGACTCCTATTTAAGGTCTGACTTATTACCATTCCTACTTCACAGTCTCTTTTATTAAGGAGAATTATGAAAAGGATTAGAGCCTGGTGGTTTTAGTTAAACTTGGCTTAAACTGAATGAATATGTGGGAGTGAGTTTTATTTGCTAGGGGATGAAAGGGTACAAACTGAGTTTAAAATTGATTGGCAAGACATATATCAATATCATGCTGTTTTAGAATATTGGGTCAATGAATCATAATAGTGATTTCAGTTGGACCCACAACACCCATTGCGACTGTGATTGCAGTTTTCGTGGAAGCCACACTGTAATGCCGTCACAGTTGTGGATCATCATGATTTGCATTGCAATAGTGTTATAGTACTGGTATAGCCGCTATTCAACAACAATGGTAATTCAATTTTAAGCTGAATACAAGTGTTTAAGAGTGTATAACTATAATAATTAATTGACTTGAACAGTTGAACATCAATATATTTTGACCTAGCAAGCACCAAGAAGTAACAAATGGGGATGTTTGATGATTGTGGAAATTATGGAGTTTTTAAGTATAAAGGGAGGGAGAGAGATGAAAGGAAACGAAACACAAAATTAATATTAACTGAGATGTATTATAATGTGTTGATATATTCGTATAACTAAGACCTCTACCCTTATTTATATTAATTATAATCCTAGCTAATTAGGGAAACAAAAATCATGAGATAAGGAAAAGCCAAAGCCTCCTAAGCTTTATAATCCTAAAGAATCCTAAAGAATCCTAATCGATAATTTAAGGTATAAGATATTTTCATATATTCTAATATTCCTCCTCAAGCCAAAGCCAAAGCCTCCCAAGCTTTAAGCTTGTTACACATACTATTTAAGAAAAGAAAGTCAAACAAATACTTTGCAATTGTAGAATGGCGGGATCAAGATGATTTGCTGCAGAAGCTGCAGAGCCAGGATGATTTCTCTTGGAAGTAGGAACACCATGAGGCCAGGCTGATTTCTCTGGGAATGTCATGGGGCTAGGATGATTCCTCTGCTATCCCACATAGCATGATTTGAAACAAAGAGGGAAGATTTGAGTAGAGATCAACGAAAGAGAATATAAGGTTACCAAACTCTGGCAAAAATCTTGAGAAATGGGGTCATGATGCAGAAACTGACAATCCATGTGCAGATCTGTGATGGGAGGGCAGCACAAAATGGTGAGATCGACTGAAGAATGGTCTAGATATACTGCCATGCATTGCAAATACTGACAGCGGGTTCTTGTCTGTGTGAACTCCTCTTGGACTGGGTCTGGTGGGGCATTGCTGGTCTTTGAGATGACTGTCTAGATCTGGCAGATGATGGTTGGAAAGATAACTGGAAAAGCTGACAACCACTTGTGAACAGTGGCAAAAGATGTTGAAAAATAACAGATGGCAAAACAGAGGTTTGACTTGTCATGATGATGAGATTGTAGTGGAGGACTGGCAACAGTGGTTGAAAACTATTTGAAGCACGCTGGAAAAATGAACAGCAGAGGAGATTGGAACCAGATAGAAACTCAGATGGAGATTATCTAAAACATCAGTTAATTGATCCTGAAATCATAGAACATTGGACAGAAGCTCATTATGACATTGGTTGGAGTGGCCAAGAGCCAAAAAAGTTATATATTTAATCTACGTAGGATATAGGATTGGAATGGGAAGCAGAATGTTTATGATGGATCTGAATGACTGAGTTAGTAATTGTTCTGTAAACCCCAATTCTTACTATTGAAACTGAGTACTAACAGCACTTCTCTCTACAAATTACAAAATCAAATTTATTTATAAAATTTTCAATTTATGGATTAGATACTGCTGTTTCATATATTTGTTGAATTAATATGTACAAAACCCTGTCGCTGATTTGTCATACATGTTATTAGCTATTGCCTAACTTGAGATTGGAGTTCCTTGTCCGAATGTAATAATTAAATTCTTAAAATTTTCAAACTATCTCAGGTTTAGCTGGACTTAGAGTGGGATATGGAGCTTTTCCTTTGAGTTTAATTGAGTATCTTTGGAGAGCAAAGCAGCCATATAATGTATCTGTTGCTGCTGAAGTTTCTGCATGTGCAGCATTGCAAAATCCTACCTATCTAGAGGTTTTTCTTCTGTACTTTTGCATATGGCACATGTATGTTACTTGGTTATTCAATAGGGCATTACAGTTATTGAAAATTGCTATATGAGATTTATAGTCCATAACACAATTGGGTCAAGCACTGTCACATATAGGCGAATACCAGGAGCATTTACTGGATATGCAAAAACTAAAGTACTCTTGCATGTTTTACTCATTTATTACCAGCTATTACTCTCAACACAAGTGAAAGCTAATGTGTCAGTCTTAACATACAGAATGTAAAAAATGCTTTGCTCAAAGAAAGAGGGAGGCTTTTTGACCTTTTGAAGGAAGTTCCATTCCTTCGGCCATTTCCAAGCCATTCTAATTTCATTCTTTGTGAGGTTACATCTGGAAAGGATGCAAAGAAGCTAAAGGTACTTTTCTTTCCATATCTTCATGCTTAACATATTTTTCTTTATTTCTTTATTTTGTTATAAATGTTTTTGGGATGATTTTACAGACATATTTCCTGTTCCCCAAAATTTCCATTCTGATTTCCTTAGGATAATAATATTAAAATATGTGATCATCATGGTTTGAAGAATAGTTAATTTGCTAATGTTATTGGCAGCTGGCAAAACAATTCATTTATCTGTCATTTATAAGATCTATCTACTAGTAAATTCATTCGATCCATCCATTAGAATAAAAATAAATAAAGGATTTGATTCAATCTATCTATTTAATTTTATGGATGATTAGTAATCCATCTACTATCTTTTTAAAATTCATTAGATTATAATATGAGATGTTTATTGGATTAAAATTTTAAAAGACTATTTTGACATAAAATTATTTTGTGAATATTAAAAGATTATATAAGAATGTAATGACTTATAAGGAAAGGAGAGAAAAATAAAATATTTTCAAAATAAAAATTATTTAATTTTTAAAACATTATTTTCATTGATGGATCAGATAACCATCCATAATAAAATTATTAATAGATGGGTTGAATGGTTTTTTTTCTTCTTTAAATGGATCAGATGGATTAGATTTTTGGTGAATTTTTAATGGATCTAAAGTGATTAATGAATATTTTTTATTTGATCCATTATGATTTGTCTAAAAAATTATCCAATCGATCTATTTGTTACCCTTAGGCTTTTGCTACATGAGGTTTTGCAATGAAAAGGGGTTGCTTTATCCATTTATTTTTTGATCAATGCTTTATCCAAATTTTTGTGTGATAGTGACAACACAGTCACATCTTGAACAAAATGAAGGAGAGATGAAGGGATTCAACACAAGCTAATTTCCAAATTGTTCTTTCTTATCTAGGTTTAACAACTTAAAGTAGGACAAAATGCTTTCTCTAATTTCAGTTGACTTGACATAAACTGGAATTTAGAGATTTGGATTCTTCATTCCTTTATTCCATTTCGTATCTTGGGGAGGGAGAGTTGTGGTTGAGATGTATAATTGGTGGGGGTTAGCCACTTCAATCTTCAGTGTTTCTTATACAAGCAATTAGTTCACTTCAAAATTCTGTTTTTATTCAGAAGATTAGGTAAAATTCACGTAGTATTTACTAAATAGGGAGTGACCCTTGGGTCATTTAACAAGACTCTCATGAAGTTCACCAAAGAATGTGCTAGAATGCATGTGTGGCTTGCATTTGTCTTATTGAGAAACGTTAGAGCCTTGTTTGAACTTTTTCTGTGAATTTCCTAATGCAACATTTTGGCATAACGAAAAGCAGTTAACTAAATTTGTTGCCAACTTGAAATATTAATTTTGTGTTAATAGGAGGACCTCGCACAAATGGGTGTGATGATTCGTCACTACGACAAGAAAGAGCTGAAAGGGTACGTTCGTGTAACTGTTGGGAAGCCTGAGCAAACAGATGCACTTATGAAGTGCCTCAAGAGACTGTTGTAAGAGGAAAATTTGAATGTAATGAACATTGTAACACGTAATGCAGAAGTGTAATTGCTAAACTTCTCTTATTAAATAATCATATATATGGGGAGTCATAGAAATTACTCCTTCACTTCCGTTTTTTTTTTGTTTTTTTTATTTATTATTATCTATTTTTTTAAAACAATGTTCTTATTTATTGATCGTTTTTGCAATTTAAGATAACTAATTATTCTTTTGCTAATTATATACTTATTTTTAATTAATTAATTAATTAATTAATTTATACATTTAGAACAAACGTATATTTATTGGCGGTGGATGCATCAGGATTTTGGTTCAATATTTATTGTCGTAATCCCTCGATGATAACAAGTTTTATATGTATAAATAATATGCTACTGGAGGTGTATAACCTTATTCTCACAATGATCTGACAAATTATAAAAAAACAAAAAAAAAAGTTGTTTTGTGGAGTCAAAATAGGGAAGGGCACAATAATAAACTTCAAAATTATTTCATAGAAAACAAGAAATTTTTTTTTTCTTGATATATGTATACAGAAAATTTCAAATGATACTGGAATGCGAACAACGATGGTAGAAGAAAATGTTAATTTTAGTAAGGGAAATGGAGGTGGCTTAATATATTGGCTTAAATAGACTAGGATAAATATTGTGCTATGCAATTTGTGGAAGTTTTTATTATTTTTATGTTTGCTTCTAAATTTCATCTATGTGATGCCCTTCTTTGTTTTTTCAATTTTTTTTGGGACAGCTTAATAGTTTAAAATGTTGCATTTATCATATATGCAATTAGGGAAAAATTCAAATTGGTCCGAATCAAACTATAAATGATCTGATCCGTATTACAAAATTTGTTCTATTTTGAAATAAAAATCTAAATTGATCTACTTTACAAAATTAGTTATTTGATCAATTTTTACAAAGTGGATTGGTTTGGTTTGATTCTTTTTGAAAAATCAATCTATATATGAGTAAAAAATAGATAATTGTATTACACCGAACTGATCTAATTTCAAAAAAATTGATTCATATTTAAAAAAAAAACCAATCCATTTTGTAAAAAATGGATCGGTTAATCGATTCACTTTTATAAAATGGATCGATTCGATTTTGTTTGAATTTTTAAAAAATCCAATTCATGAACACCCATATCTGCAATCATCGATAATCATAACAACCACCATCGTTATTGTAACACCCTAGGATTTTTCTTTCTTTCTAATAACTAATAATAATTAATTAGGAAGATAATGATGACTTTATTTTATTTTATGATTAACAGTTTTATTTTATTTATTTTAATAGATTTAATCATTAAAAGGAGAATTAGAAATAATTAAAAATAAAGGGGTTTTAGAGAAATAGGTAGTTATTTATTAAAAGAGAGGTGGAGAAGGGTTCACTTTTGACATCTTCACATTCTCTAACACTCTTGTGCTCTAAAGAGGACACATTTGGAGAGCAAGGAGAAGGGATCATTGAAGAGGAGGAAGAGACTTAGATCTAATATGTTGCATCACTCCAGGTACGGGGGGAGTGAGAACACTTATCTCTAGGAATTGGATGTATGTATGATGGTTAAAGGGATTGGCCCCAATCCCATAAGTGTTCTGTTTGATGTTGTTTGTTGAGTAAATTCCTAATATGAATTTTATTTGATGATCTGATGCTTTTGAAGTAATTAATTAAGTGCTCTATATAGAAATGAGTTAGAACCCTAAGGGAAAAGAATTGATGAATTTTAGGGGTAAGAGTCGTAGACGTTTAATTGGATGAATTCATCTCGGATGGTGAATTTTATGGACTAAAACGAGTTCTGGCTATTTGAAATTTTGCATGATCGTTTATTGTGATGTTTGTTTGAGATTATTATTCCGATGATAGTGTGTTTGGGTGTTGGATCGCATGCAGCGTCGGGCTTGAGTGCTCGGAGCTAGATGTGCCTTCATGCGTATGAAGACACTACCTAGACATGCTAGCATCGAGCAGGGAAATGTCCATGTTGGGTGTGAGATGTTTAGGGTGCTCTCTGTCGTGGCTTAAAGCTAGGCGTGACTTTGTGAAGTTGGGGTGAAAAGGTCTAGGTGTTCTCTATCTCGGCTTAAAGTCGAGTGTGGCTTTATGAAGCTAAACGTGAAAAGATCTGGGTGCTCTCTATCTCGGCTTGAAGCTAGGTTTGGCTTGGTGAAGCCGGGCATAAAATGACTAGGGTGTTCTCCATTTCAATTTAGACTAGGCGTAGATTTTCCAAGCCCTACGTAGAATGTTAGGAGGCTCTTTATGACGTTTTAAATGAGGTTATTATGATGTTGATGATTGATTATATGATATATATATATATATATATATATATATATATATATATATATGCATGATGAATGATGATTTTTATCGTGATGAATGACATTTGATGTGGATGAATATGAATGTTGGTGAACGATGAATTATATGTTGATCATGATGTATTAATATAGAAGCATTTGCATAGTTGTGACATGCATCATACTTCCATGATTCTGTGGTTTTGGTGGAAACCTGTTGGTTTCTGGCGGGAACACTTCTATGTTGGTAATCTAAGGTTAACTCGGGACTTAGGTACCAACTGTATATTCTTGATGATGATGACTAGGTACCCCATGCATTAAGATGTATGTGTAACCGCATTGCATTACTGTGTATGTGATTGTATATTCTGTGAAGTTGATGTATTAATCATTATTATTATAATTTTTATCGTGAAGGCACTACAAGGAAAAGGATGAATTGCGACAGACAAATTGCGACGGTTATTGCAAAACTGTCGCCGCTTCGATTTTGCGACCGTTTGTACGACAATTATTTCCAACTACCGCAAAATATGTCAATATTACGACAGTTCATGCGACGGATCCAAATAACTGTCGCAAAATTTAATGCTTTAATATACTATATTAATTTTATTTTTATATCTTTTAAATTATTTTAGAATAAAAATGTTTTATGTTAATACCGTAAAACTAAAAATTAAAAAAAAAATGTTACAATTTTTTATGTGTTAATGAAATTAATAATACATCTTAATTGTGGATGAAATCGAGAATATTGAGCATCTAATAAATAATTTATAATATTATTTTAATGGTTAATTAAATATGGAATATTTGATAAATTTAGTTATCTTTTCAGAAATATTAACTTAAAAATAAATTATAGGTTTAAAAATAATATATATATATATATATATATATGTATATAACCTCTATTTAAAATTTAAAACTTATTTTTAATACAAATTAAATATCATTTTGTTCAAAAGTTATAGTGAAATTTGATAAAATTTTAGAATTAATTAAAAACACATTTAATAGTAGACTAGACCAAAAGTCATCATTTTTTTTGGAAGTATTATGTATATTATCTTAATAAACTTATATTTTATTAATAATTTTATATATACTTCCTTTAACATGAGCTACACAATTTTTTTTTCTTTATATAGTTTTAAAATCATGACTAAAAATTATAAAGTCAGGAGTAATTATAAAATATTATTTTCTTGAAAGATTACAATTAAAAAAGAAAAAGAAACTAAAAATATTAAAATGTTAGTATGATCACACAGAGAAATAAATCAAAATATAACATTAATAATATTTCTATGATGTCATTAATAAAAATAAGAGATATTTGATAAATTAAATAATTATTTCATAAATATTGCGACAGTTTTAAGGGGAACCGTCATAATGTATTATTTCGTAAATATTGCGACCGTTTTAAGAGAATCGTCGCAATGTATTGTTTTGTAAATATTGCGGCAATTTTTATAGAACCGTCGTAATGTACTTTAATTTCCTTCAAAAAGTTTCAAACCCTTGAAAAGGAGACGCGGGGTAAACTGTAAGTTCTGAAAGTGAAACCCTTGAAAAGCATTTGCAAAGTGAAACCCTGCCACCGCGCCCATGAGACGCATTCTGCCACCGCCACCGCCACCGCGCGCACGAGCTGCAAATCGTGCAAAGCTAATGATCCCCCACATACTAGGCTCTAAAACTCTTGCAAGGAAAAGGAATGAGTTGGTATATATGGTTCAATTTCTTATTTTAACTAGCTAATATGTTTATTGATAATTTGTATTCTTAATCATTACATGATGCTTATTGTTAGGAGTTGTTACATGGCCGGGAATTTAGTAGAGCAAAAATGTATCAAGTTTCTCACAAAAAGCCAGATGGAAATTTTGTTAATGAAAAGGATAGAGAGTTACATGTAAGCTTAATGTGTTATTTGAAATTTATTGTTATTTGAACTTCATTATTATTTGTGGTCTAGTACTGTTTAAATGCTATTATGTTTAATGTTATTTACAGGAAAAGTTGCAAAATGAAATGCAAAATTGTTCTGAAAATGTAGCTTTTGAGAGAGTTTGTGGGAAAGAACATCCTGGCTATGTACGTGGTATGGGACTTGGAGTTAGGCCATCTCAAATCATTGGATCTTCTTCTCATGCAACATCATCAACTACTTCCTTTCAGTCTAATGAAAAGATGGAACAAATGCAAGCTGAAATTGACTCACTCAAGGCACAAGTTGCAGAAGTCGATGTCTTAAAGGAGCAGATCGCATTTCTTATGCAACGTGTTAAGGGAAATGAGGTAAAGTAAATATTATTGTTTTTTAAAATTTGAAAGCATAGAATGACCTGTATTGTTGTTAGTTATATTTTGTTGTGTCAATAAGAATAACTGGATAATGATTGCAATTTTGTCTACTTCATTGAAATGGTTAACTTATATTTATAAGAATTTTGAGTATTCTTATGTTTAATGGGTTATTAGTCTATGGTATTGCATTTTGAGGAGGTCTATGGTGGATTGATTGAAAGCCTTGGAATTATAATGCTTGATGGTATTGTTATAATGCTTAATGAATTATAGTGTATGTTGCTGCTTATTTTTTACTCACAGTGAGAGGTGGAAAAGTTGAATATTATACTTGATGAATGTTAATACTAGTATGATTTTCATTTTTACTTATTTTTATTTATTTTTTTTTGTTCTAGGCACCTGACTTGGAATCACCCGTAAATGGAAAGCCTTCCTCTAAAGGGAGTCATATGCCTGAAGCCCATGACTCAGATTCCCCTACCACTGTTTAGTTTATATTTTGTTTTTAATTTATGCAGTCTAATTAAGAAATTTAAATACATACTTGTGTATTTTCTTTGGATTTGTTTAATGTTGTATGAGAAGCATAATTTAATACTCTATATGTTTATGAATTTTATTTTATTTTATTATTAGCTTATGTTATTTATTTTTGTCTAATTATATTACAGTTTAAATAAAAATAATAGATAGATAAGTATTATAACAAAAAATATATAAAATGATTGTTGTATATATTATTATAATAATTCCTAAATTCTAATCTAATTAATGTTTACTTGTATTGTAATATGTATAAAATATTAATAAGTATGCATTAACCTCTACTAAATTGTGATACAAAATATTTATAAAATAAAATAAATAACGACTGATGTATTTTTAAAAGTATAAATTAATTTTTAGAAAATAATTGCAACAGTTAAAGAATAAATTAATTTTAAAAAATGATATAAAATTTAATTTTAAAAAATAAATAATAAATATAGCGTCATTTAAATAACTGTCGCAATGTTAATATAGAGGCAGTTAGTGCGACAGTTGATGGAAGGGTCGCAATGTTAATATAGAGGCATTTAGTGCGACGATTGCTTCAAGGGTCGCAATATTAATATAGAGGCAGTTAGTGCGATAGTTGATGGAAGGGTCGCAATGTTAATATAGAGGCACTTAGTGCGACGGTTTCTTCAATGGTCGCAATTCAAATTTTGCGACGGTTTGTCCAACGGTTTCGATAACCGTCGCAAAATGCACTCGTGACGGACATTTCTGCGATGGTTCACCAACCATCGCAATGACGTCTTTGCAGCAGTTCTAACCGTCGCAATGTAGGCCATATAACTGTCACAAAACCGTCATTTTCTTGTAGTGAGGGATGTAATACTGAGGGTTGCAGCCTATTCCCTATAAAGTGAGATTGTTCTCATTCCTTGTTTGTTTGTCGGTATGTTTTTGTATGTTTTGCAGGTGAGAATCCTCAGTTTCTGGAGGAGTAGGGAGATATCTAGGTGCGTGTGAAAACTTTGATGCCAATGTGACACCGGGACTTGAGAGTAGTTTAGGAATTATGTTATCTCTCTTGATTTTAAGTCAATACATTTAAGTTGTGAATTACCATTATCTGTTATTATTATTTTTCTATTGAATTAAATTACTTTTAACCTAATGAGTATGAAATTAGAAGTTAGGAGTTATTTGTATCTTTAATTATTATCTCTCTTGGAGGTAGATGAGTGTCACAGTTATCATTGGCATCATTGTAGTTACGATGCAATCACATTTGTTGGTAGCCATTACCATAGTAACTACAACTTTTATTGTAGATCACAACTTAAGAATTGTATTCATGAAAAATGATAAATATGCTATTTGGTTATATTCAAACTGACCATTTAGTCTTAAGCCTAATCAACTACTCCTAAGTTAAGTTAGTGAGATGTCGAGTGGAGATTTTACATTTTTTTTAAAAAAATCGACTTGCAGGATACTTGGGAAGCGTTCGCTATTAGAATATTTTTTATTTCCTAAGAATTGATTAGATCGAAATATTGGTTCCCATATTTCTATCTATTTAAAAACAAAATAATTGCAAGGAATATTATTTTTCAAAAATCATTTTTATCTAATTTTTCATAAAATCATTCATTTGGAGGTTGAGAATCCAACTTTATTAATTTAGTGGAAAAATTTTAATTATATAAAAATTTAATCTCTATTTTTCATTTTTTCAAATACTAAGAATGAGATAACATCATTGTGTACTCTCTCACATGCTCCATGTAAGTCACTCTCTCCCATTCTCTTTCTCTCTCTCTCTCTTTTTTTTTTTCTTTTTTGTATTTCACTATTTCTTGACCTTGTTAAGCTTGATAAGATTATTAGAACCTGTTTTTCTTCTTCTTTGATTTAATGATATTTGATAATAGTTTTAATTCTTTTTGAATGAAATGAAAATATAATTTTATTCTTCTTATAAAGTAATATCTTTCTTGGTTTATTTCTTTTGTTTAATTCTATAAATAATTTTAACTACTTCTATCTCATAATAAGTGTCATGTTAGAAAAAAGTCTCAAAATAAGTGTTATATTAATTTTTCAATATAGTATTAATTATCTTTTTTTCATTTATACCCCTTGATAATAACTTTTAGAAAGTGATTATTATATTGAATCGTTTCTAGTAAAGAAGATATTAATCATAAGGTTAATTTTATATAATTGTTAATCTCTTTCACCTCTTTATTAGCTTTTCTTGGTATGTATAAAATAACATAAGATAACTGATAAAATCTGTTTTAAGATGGAGGGAGTATAAATTATTAATAGTTTAAATTTTATCAAATGTAAAGATTATTATATATAAAAATTGTTTATATATATGTAAATAATTTTTATTATCTTCAAAAAGTAATTAGATCATAAAAAAAGTTAAATGTCATATTTGTAATAAAATTTGAATAAAGAAATATATCTAATGAGATTATTTTGATAAAGAATATTTTTATATCCAGAAAAATACTATTATACACTTTTAGTTCATCTATTTTAATTAATTCACAATTGTGAACCATCTATTTTAAAAATAGAGATATTTAGTTCTTCTAATTTGAAAATTATGAAATTTTAGTCATTTCATCAAATTAACATCTATTAGTCGTTCAATTTTAATATTTACTCATTTTTAAGTGATGTGACATTTAGTAGCATGCTATTTAGAAATAAAAAGCTAAAAAATAATGCAAATAAATTTTTATTAATAAAATAAATACGATCACTTGTAAAAATAGACACAATTATAGATCTTCTGTATGTTATTTTTTAATTTTTATCTTCATATATTACGTCAATAAATATCACATTACTTAAGTGTTGACAAATCATTAAGGAACATCTATATTTAATGATAAACAAATATCAAATTGATGATTGAACCAAAATTTTTATATTTTTAAAAATTGAGGGACTAAATATCTCTATTTTAAAAGAATGGGACCAAAATTATAAATCGACAAAAATTGTAATTTAACCCGTAAAAAAATATTTTTATGTTGAGAAAAATACTATTAAACCAAACATAAAAATCTCTAATATTCAAGAAACTTGTATAAATATTCTTGAAAAGTTTTGTGAGTAGCCATATAAATTTTATTTATACTCAAACATTTAATTATCAAAATTTGTAATTTTTAGAAATCATAATTTTCAAATATGAAAAAATTGTTCCCTAACAAAATGCCCCTTAGTGTGATGGAGAAAACTAGCTTAAAACTTGAAGACCCATTTACTTCAATTAAAATATAATCACTCAGATTAAAAAAAAAAATATTTAACTAAAATTAATCATGTAGCTAGGAAGGATGTGTTTTGATTTACAATTAGAATATTAAAATAAAATAAAAAATTAGTGGCATGAATTCTTAGAATTTATGATCAATTATATGTTTTGGGTTGTAATTATATGATATTAGGTTCTTGTAGGTTCTTATGGGAAACCACAAGGGAACTTGTGAAACTATTGATTGATATATGTAAATTGAGTGACTTAAAATGTTAATTGCATGCTATAGAGCCATTTTATTGATTGTATATGTGTTTATGCATGAAATTGGATGTGGGTAACTTGTAGTCGTTGAGGAGACGTGATTTCCACGAAAGAAGATCACATTCTCACTTAGCGAGATGTGCAAGGTCACTTAGTGAGAAGCTCCAAGGAGCTCAGCTTGCTCAACTAGATAATGGACGCTCAATAAGAAGTCTCGAGGGGCTCAACTTGCTTAGCTAGATGATTGGTCACTAAGTGAGAAGCCCCAACTCGCTCAACTAGGTGTTGGTTATTCAGCTAGACGTTGGTGACTCAACTAGATGTTGGTGGCTTAGATAGATGTTATTTGCTCAATGAGAGGCTTCAGGGAACTCAACTTGTTCTGTGACTATTAGATGGTTGTTTTATCCTTGTGATCTTGATACTACCTTTTTACTAATGATTCTTTCAAATGAAATGAAAATGTAATTGTATCCTTCTTATAAAGTAATATCTTTCTTGGTTTATTGCTTTGTTTAATTCTATATATAAATAATTTTAACCACTACAAAAAATATGCAATTTAGCGACCACCAAAATCGGTCGCTAAATTGCTAAAATCGATCTCTATTTACTTTAGCGACCGAATTAGCGATCAAATTTAATCGGTCGCTAAAACCCTGGTCGTTAAGTTATTTAGCGACGAAAAAATTTTTGGTTGCTAATTCGGTCGCAAAATGGTTGCAATGATTTTGGCCGCTACTAATAGTTAGCGACTGAATTTAATTCCGTCGCTAAAAAAATCAAAATTTCTGATTTAGCGACCAAATTTAATTTCGTCGCTAAAAAAATCAAAATTTCTTATTTAGCGACTGATTTTTTAGCGATGACTTTAAAATTAGTGGCGAAATTCTATTTTGCCGCTAAATATTAGTTAAAATTAGCGATGAAATTAAATTCAGTCGCTAAATATTAGTTAAAATTAGCGACAGAATTGAATTCGGTCGCTAAACTAGAAATTTTGATTATTTTAGCGACGAAACTGAATTCGATCGCTAAATATTAGTTAAAATTAGCGACGGAATTGAATTCGATCACTAAATATTAGTTAAATTTAGCTACCGAATTCGCTAAATCAGAAATTTTGATTTTTTAGCGATGAAATTAAATTCGGCCGCTAAGTATTAGTTAAAATTAGCGACAGAATTGAATTCAGTCGCTAAATCATAAATTTTGATTTTTTTAGCGACGAAATTAAATTCGATCATTAAATATTAGTTACAATTAGCAATGAAATTTTATTCGGTCGCTAAATATTAGTTTAAATTAACAACGGAATTCTATTCGGTCACTAAATATTAGTTAAAATTAGCGACGAAATTATATTCAGTCGCTAAATAAAACTTAAAAAAATTTATAAATTGCTTAAAAGTGTTGATAATATTGCTGTTGAGTATCAATCTCATTGTC